TTCTTCTATAGTCTCCTTTACTTATTATCCAACTTTCACATGCGTATGAAACAATTGAAAATACAATGGCTTGGGTCAGTTTCACTTTAGTCCTCAAACTGACATCTTTATTCTTGAACATTTTAAATAGTCCTTGTGCAATAGATTTACCTAATGCAGTACATAATTTTATTTCAACTGCTATTTTATGAACATTGATTGTTGATCCTAGCAAATTGAAGTGTTTGATAATTTCAGACTTTTCTCCATTTATCCTAATGATATTCATTGGTCCAGTTTTGAGGAATTTTGTTTTCTTTACATTGAGTTGCAATATATTCTAAAAGTTTTAGTCTTTGATCTTCTCCAGTAAGTATGTCAAGTCCTCTTAGCTTTCAGCTAGTAATATTGTATCATCTGTATATCACAGGGTGTTAATTAGTCTTGATTCCACATTCTTCTTAATATGATCCAGTGTTTCAGATAATTTACTTAGCTTATAAATTATATACCCTCGTTATTGATCATATGGTAGCCCTTGAAAGGGCTGAACATCAGCCAATTCATGTTGGTGCAGTGATTCTGTAAATACCTTTTTTTATAGTAAGACATTAAAATTATCAGATTTAAAACATCAATACCAGTACATTTCAACTCTCTAATGTCTAGGATATAGATTTTTATGTTTTCCATTTCATTTTTGACAACTTCCAATTTTGCTAGACTCAGATTTCATGCATTCTGTATTTGATTATTAATGGATGTTTGTAACTGTTTATTTTCATATCAGCAAATAAAGGTTGCAAAAGCTTAACTCCATGCACATCATTAAGGTTATCTTTACTTTGAGGAGTCAGCTCATACCCAGATGTATTTTCAGTGCCTTTTAAACTGATGGGTTCTGATTCTGGCAGATATCTGACAATACTCTGCTGAAATTCATAGTGTTTTCCATAATTAACCATTAAGAATTAGTCTGCCTCTCCTTTGCCATAGCCTGTCTTAGTGTAGAATCTCAGCTGAAAGTTGTTCACCACGGGTGACCCTACTGGTATTTAAATTACTTGCAGCAACACACAAACCATCACAGTAATACAAGATGATGAACACATGTTTCTAAGTAACCTCTTTTTTCTTTCATGAACCACCTTTTTGCACTTAAATCACATGATTTAAATATAAACAAGTATGATATTTCATCCTTATTAATAGCTCTTTTATCTAGCATTTACTCTTCAGATTTATTACTATGGTAATGTATTCCATTATGGTAGCACTGTGGCTCTGTAGTATAAACAGTAGAGTGCTAAAGTTGACAGTTCAAACCTACTAGTTGCCCTGCTGCAGAAAGATGAGGCTTTCTGTTTCCACAATACTTTATAGCCTTGGAAACCCTATACAAGATCACTAAAAGTCAGAACCAGTTACAAGACATTTAACAACAAAACAACATATTTCATTTTAAGGAACACTGATAGCAAAGTCATTATGTATTGCCTGCTCAACTAAAGGTTGATCTGGCAGTTTTCTTGCTGCCATAAAGATTGATGGTGTTGAAGGTGGTAGTGTGCCGTGGAGTCAGTTCCAACTCATAGTAACCTAGTATACGGTTTTGTAGGCTGTAAATCTTTATGGGAGCAGAAAGCCTCATCTTTCTGCCATGGAACAGCTGGTAGTTTTGAACTGTTGAACTTGAGGTTAACAGCCTGACTCATAACCAATACACTATCAAGCTGGCGACAGCATATGCAAGCACTGAGAAGCTGTGGCCGTGTGACCACATGGACGAAAATCCAGCCCCAAGGCCCTCCTCAGAATTGTGAGTCATGGACCCTGAGGGCCAAGGAAGCAACCTCCTGAAGTCCTGGGTCCATGGCCTTTGGCAAACTCACTGTTTGGCCACCTCTGTGCAACTTTCTTTAATTGTACTTTTGTGCATTCTGTACCTGTTCTTTATGCCTCTAACTCCAGTAATTGTAGCTTCTGGGAAAATGGTTGATGTACACAGTGCCTCTGTTAATGGCTCCACTGTATTGGTAATGTGTGGGGTCCTGGGAACAAATCTTTCTGAGGAACAAGCAATGGCCACCTGGGGTAAATGTCAAAACTGCTCCTTATCTAACTATTTAGTTATGTTTGATGTTAACTTGAAGCGTGAGCTCTTGATGTCCATGTACAATTATAAGACCGAAACCCCCTCTAGGGCTGAGACCATAAAACTTCCTCAAATATCTTGGATAGAACAACAACAGGTGTTTTGGGATTATGAAAAGCAGTTATGGAGAAAGCAAGAGAAAGGCCCTTCCATGAAATGAAATAGCAGGTTCTGGGAATACTTGATTAAGGGCAAGTAGTGGCAATCCTCACCAACAGCCCTTGGATATAATCAGTTTGATCCTGATGAAGTAGGAGAATAGAAGTGTGATAACAACTGAGAACTAAGAGAGTGGTAATATAAATCATAGGTAAAAATATAACTAGATATTTTGTATAGAGAAGTTGATATAGGGAAGTTGTTCTGTTTCTTCTTAACTACAAAGCTTTATACTTCTTGTTTAAACATTCATGAGATACAACTGTGTTGTCAGTTACCATAGCAAGTAATGTTTAGGTACATGTTGTGATTAAGAGTCTATAGAAAATAATAGGTGAAGGTAAAAATAGGATTTAAGATTTATAATTATGTTTTAGGGTTAACTTAACATTCTAGATGTCAGAAAGATTAAAGTGTTTTAACAAGATCATTTGTATAATGTTTCAAAGAAATTGTGTATGAGATCATTGTACATGGTGGCAACCTCCTCCAACTGCCCCGAGCATGATAGTTTCGGCCCTGAGGCCCACCTCCCTAGAAAAGGAGGATGGAAGTGTGATCATGATTCAAGGCACTGTCAAAGTTGGATCTGGGACCCCAAGCAGGGAAAAGGCGTCTGGCTTAGAGATCTGAGCTTCCCAGTTTGTTTAAGTGTTGTCAGTAATTTACCTTAGAATTACAGAAATAGACAGGACAAAATAGATAGTTTAAAAGAACAAATTCAATGTATGAAGGCCTATCACCTTAGCATAGATGATTATTGTCTGTAGTATGCACAAGCAGAATTAATACAACTACAGAAAGCTTGATAGAAACTTTAGTTAACCCTCTTTAGTCTTCTCTGTCTGCCACTTATAACCATTTCTGATTTAATATATAAAAAAGGCTTTTGCTTACAAGAAACCGCAAGCTGCCGCCTTGGGTCACAGAGGCCCTTGTAGTTAAAGTTTAAACCATGATATGCTTGCTTGAACTTTTGGCTTAAGAAGACAAATGTCTTAAAAAATGGGAATAGAAAAATGAAGAACCTGTTGACATTTTTAGAAATTAGCTATGTATGCAATTTTGTGAATCACAATTGTGCTGTCTCAAATGAATAATTTCATCCTGTACTTTGTGTTTCAAGTTCCTTGTATGAAAAAAGAATAAAAGACCGGGGTAGGGCTAGTTCTGTATGCAATGTCTGCAGCAGAATAGCCTGCCTGTCAGCTTGCATTAAACTTGTGTGTCTCTGTCTTTGTTTCTATACTGTCTCTCTTTCGCCTCCAGACATCCCTCCTTCTTGAAGCCCACCCCCTGTTGAGGCGGGACCCCGACAGATTACCAGGACAAATAGGCAGATGCCAACTAAAAGTTTGGAAGCTAATATAACATTCTCTTTTTCACTTGCTAGCCCCCCTTCTTTTTCAGGCACAACAACTTGCTGTAAAACTAAAACAAAACAAAAACTCACAGAGTA